ATATAGCATATAATATATACTATATGCTATAGCATATAGTATATATTTTATGCTATATATATATACACACACACACATTTTGACCACGTGAAGATTTGTGATGTATTTATTTGCATCTTATAAATTAATTGTAGGCAAACTCTAAAATCCACACTGAAATTGTAGTTGCTCAAAAAAACAATATAAAAAGGTTAAATATCATAATATGGGTCCTCCCTGTCCCAGTGTGTCTGTTTAGTGTCAGGTGGGCATTTATGTTGTGGCTGATGTTAGTGGCTGTAAAATAAAGTCAGAGGTACTTGAGGTATAAAAAGAGGAAAGTACTGGATGTGAAACTGAAAGTGATGTGATCAAAACCCAACTCTGTAGCGTCTTTCACATGACCTTTTATTAGAGTACTAATAAACTAGTACACAACTTCACTATACTAGCTAGAGTTGAATATGTTTCATAGTATTACTATCTTGGCAACCAGACATTTTGTCCTAACTAGACAGATTGTTTAACCTACTGGACTAAATAAGTTCACAACTGTTTGAACAAGTTAACTAGTATCACAAACTTCTTTCAAGTTTACTAGTCAAACACAACTCACAAACTAGTAGGTAGCATTAAACATAGGAAACGAAGCTCTGCTCGAGTATTGATAATCAAACTATGACGCAAGTATTTATAATTTTACTCTAAAGGGAAAATGATCAAGAGGAAACATTTCCAGTTAATTTTCCCTTTAGAGTAAAATTATAAAACTTATTTAGTTTTATAATTAAAACTAATTATAGTCTGAATATCAAAACTCGAGCAGAGCTTCATTTGCTATATTTAATGTCCCACCATCCCCCAGCTGAACTAGCTGATGTGTGACAAGTGTGTGGTCTGGAACTAGTTAAACTAGTACAGTTCAGTGGCAGCTGAAGGTTAACTAGCACAGCGACAGTAAGCACATGTCAGCAGCTGGTGTTACAGCAGAGCCTCACCTGACCGCTGGACGCTGTTTCGTTCATGGTGTTAGTAGCAGGGTCCGAGCAGTCCGTCCCTCCAGGTGTTCGTGAAACAAGTGTTCACACAACCTTTTCATAGTTTGGTCCCGAGTTCGAGCGCATGCGCGGTCAAGGCTCTTCCGGGTGTGACGCAAGCGTGATGTTATTGCGTCAGATTATTTTTTTTTTTTTTTTTTTTTTTTTGTGCTTTAGACAGCAGTGGTGTATGCAAATATGGGTAAATGTGACTAAATTAAATAAATAAATACTAATAATCACATAATAATCAATTGTATCATTTAATTAGTCAATACATAATTAAATATACAATTAAATCAACGGTGAAATAATATAATGTATTTTTAAATAAAAATAATTCTTGAAAATGACATTTCATTATTTAATCTACCTTTATTTACTTAATGGGACATTTAATTTGTCAATTGTGTATTAAATAATTTAATTGTATATTTAATGATTTAATTATGTATTGAATAATTAAACAATACATTTAATTATTAGGCAGCACGGTGGCTCAGTTGGTAGAGCTGCCGCCTCTCAGTGAGCTGGTCACTCCGGTTCAAATCCCGTCCGGGGATCTTCCTTGATGGAGTTTGCATGTTCTCTCCGTGCATGCGTGGGTTTTCTCCGGGTGCTCCGGTTTCCTCCCACAGACCAAAAACATGCATGTTAGGCTGATTGGTAACTCTAAATTGTCCCTAGGTGTGAGAGAGAGAGTGAATGGTTGTTTGTCTCGTTTGTCTCTATGTGGCCCTGTGATGGACTGGAGACCTGTCCAGGGTGTACTCCACCCCTCACACAGTGATAGCTGGACATGGGCACCAGCGACCCCCGTGACCCAAAATGGAACAAGCGGGTAAAGATAATGGATGGATGGATGGATTTAAATATTAGTATTTATTTAATTTAGTCACATTTCCCCCTCCATACATAGTGGTGTGTGATTCTGCAAGATTTGGTAAACTCAACTGGATGAGATGTACATAAGACAGAGGGTGCCTACAGGTCCAGAGTCCGGTGGAGGGAAGAGGGAGAAAAGAACTCTGCCTTCTTCTGTAAAACACAAACAAGAATTTAATTTAATTGTCTCATTATTTAAGGAGTTGAATGTTCAGAGCCCAAACGCACAACCGAAGAAATATTTAACTTCTACAGTCATCTTTACAAATCTTCACATATTGAGAAACACAGTTCATCCTTTTTTAATACAGTAAGTATAATCTAATTCCTGTTTTTGATGTAAATTTTAAGAAAACTTGTGATGAAAATAAAGAATCACTGAATTAGTGCAATAAAAAGTTTGGCGTCTGACCACTCCTGGCCGAACGGATTAACAGCTAACCTTTATAAACATTTCCGGGAGGATTTAAAACTTCTGCTGTTCCAGGCTATAAAATAATTTGTTTCCAGGAAGGAGCTTATGTAAACGATGACACAAGGTATAATAAAACTAATTACAAAACTTGAAAAATAAATATTTTTTAAATAAATAAATATAATACAACCCTTTACCTTTTTGAGTACAGACTACATGATCCTCACAACAGTTGTGGCAACAAGATTAAAAATTAGTTTATCTATACTAAGTACTATCTAGTTTTCTAAAAGGAAGATTCATCCATGACGACATCTGCCTGGTTCAGGACCTTATTGAATATAGTCATTTAATATGATGGGTTTATGTTGTTTGTAGATTTCCGTAAAGCCTTTGAGTCTGTGGAACAAGTGTTTGTTGTTAGCACATTGAGACATTTTGGATTTAGAAAAGAGTTTCTTGATATGATTGCCATGTTAAATAACATATATAGCTGTGTTTCTCTGCCAGATGGCACGTGTCCCAGATTCAAAGTGGAAAGAGGAATTAGACAGGGTTGCAGTATCTCACCTCTTTTATTTATCATGGTCACGGAGCTATAACTATTGAAATCTCAAACATTGAATTATTATATGTAAATAATAATAAAATAAGCATAAGCAAATTCGCTGAAGACACAACACCTTTTAAAGAACAAAGAACAAATCCTATTGGCTTAAAAAAATGTAGTTGTTTATCCAATCTCAGGTCTGCCGTTAAATCTAAATAAATGTGAAATTATGAGCATTCATAACCGCTCTGAATTCAATTTATATGGAGGGTTAAAACAAAATTAAATCAATAAATACAACATGAAATAAATAAATGTGAATGCCCAATGAAATAAATAAATGTACCAATAAACATACCATTAAATAATTAAATATATCATTTAATTATTTAATACATATTTAAAAAAAATGAAATACACAATAAAAATAATGGCTATATATAAGACCTTTGATACATTGGACCAATTCATAAATTTGGCTTTTACTTTTCCTCTGCTATAAGAACATCAACACGAACTGCCAGGTCCCTATTCATTCATTCAACCTTTATTTATTCAGGTTAATCCCATTGAGCCTCGTGGACTCGTTTACAAAGAGACCTGATTTTAACAAAGAATGATGACAACAGAGAACAACAAAGACAACAATAGACACTCATAAAGGATGCGTACAAATTGAGTTATTATTTTTTTTAATAAGTGAAAATAAAATGGTCTTTAAAAGGAAAAGTAACCATAAAACAAACAAACAAAAACACAATTAGATTGTAGGGCAGTGTAGAAAATATAGTCTCCCCAGAGGAATAAGACAGGGCTGCCCTGCTCTTTTTGCTAGTGGCACAGCTTATGAGTCATCATATTAAAAATTGTGCTGCATCTCAGTCTTTGGTTAAGAATAAAAAATAAAAATTAACACAACTAGTAGATGACACAGCACTCTTTGAGGAATGAAAGCCAAATTATTATAGTCATTGTTGCAAATCAGGAGTTCTCAAAGCATCTGCTGTATCCCTCAACATTAAAAAATGTGTTCTTGTTAAGGACTGTACTGTCTATATAACATCCCTGTAAAAGAGGGATTTCAGTGTTAAGGAGTCTCAATAACAAGTGATCTAAACAAAAGAAGAACCTAAAACTTTAACCCAATCATACAGTATACAAAACTCAAAATGAACTCAATCAGTGGCTCCTATGAGATTTATCATTGACAGGAAGAACTTTTCTCACTAAAGCAGCAGAAGGAAAAAGGTATCTCATTGTTAACAGATACAGCTTTGGCTCTGCATCTCAACAAGGAGACCTTAAAGGTTTTGGACAAGATGCTCTTTAACTTTGTTTGGGAAACTAGGACTCACTATCTGAAGAAGTCTGTCGTCATGAACTCATTTGAGATTGGCGGTCTCAATTTTCTGGATTTTTGTATTTAAATAACCTATTTAAAATCAATTGGGGAAAAAACAACAACTAATTTTCAAAAACCCCACCTCTATTTGATATCCCTCTCCATATGTTGTCTAAGTTAGGCAGCATTGGCCTTTTTTGCATTTGTAATTATGAAATCGATGAGATCCATGTTAAGATGTCTGCTTTTTATCACCAGGCCTTTCTATCATGATCCCTCAATTACAAACACAATTTCTCTCCCTACAACTATCTGATTTGATTTGGAATACATTTTATACAAACATAAATCCAATACTGGTTTCAAAATAACATAATATGGGTGGACCAGTTGTTCAACAGTGCAGGCCTTCTGCTCACTCATGAAGAATTTCTCAGAAAATACATCTCTGTAACTCCCAGAGTAAGGTGTTTGGAGCCATTCCCTCTGGAGTATGTGTGCTTTTTAAGGGTCTACAGACGCTTGATGCTCACAGCCTTATCTTATCATCCCCAGTAGATACACCTAGGGAAAATATGTCTATCTGGTCAAACTGTGAGTAACAACAGAGTCATAAGAGCCCTATTTCAGAATAACGTCACTACAAAACCAGCTGTTGTTCCACATAGGAATAGGTTTGTGGATGAATACCATAGGAAAGGATTTGGCTACTGAATAAATATAAGTCTGATTACAAACAAAATTAAAGAAAGCTCCTACAAAAAGTGTCTATATAAATCTGTCCAGCTAAGCTGTATGTTAAAACTAGATTCAAGAAATAAATTGATATTAAATGTAGCTTTTGTGATATATGTTCTGAAACTGTTGGTCACCTGTGGTACTGCCCATTTGCTTATTAGTTTTCACAGAAACTATGTGACTTTATTCACAGTAACTATGAAGAACATTTTGTTACTGACCGACCACTTAATAAATATTTTATTGTTAATGTCAAAATATCAAATATCACATTAATTGTAGCAAATACTCTGGAAGAAAAGCATACTTTACTGATTTTCTTAATGAGGTAAAGCAATTTATTTAGATGATTAAAAATTGTGATACAACGCCATCTAAAACCATTAAAATATGTTGAATGTAAAACCCTGAACACCCAAAGCATTTTTCTTTTTTTTAGCTGTTTTTTTATTATTTGTTTTTTTGTGTTATTGTTATTTAAAGAACCGGGATATTTTGATGACTCATATTCTGACGTTATACTGTAAACTAAACCACAATTATAAATAAAGCTTGTTTAAAAAAAAAAAAAAGACTGATATAGCAACTAGCAAGATGGCGGCAAAGAGTCGCGCCCAGTGAAGCTATTGGCCGTCAGCGTCTCCCCGACGTTTGTTTGTTTGTTTTTAAGAAAACTTTATTCATCAAAAACAAGTACAAACAAGTATGGCAATACACAAAAGTTTTTTATTATTTTTTATTAGTAATTCATAAAAGTGTAAATCTAAAAAGGGCGTAGAGGCAGACTTAGATATGGGAACATCAAAGCAAAAACTGTTTAAAGAATGATAAGGTGAAATTAAGAAAAAAACAAAATAAACTACAACAAGGGGGTACATGTTTAGGATTAGCATTAACATTTCATACAGGTCTTCATATGTTTCAACGTATTTCAGAGATTTCAAATATAATTGGAATTCAGATAAACCAATGTTAAAAACTGGGGATGATCTTATTTTAGCACTCTTTGTTTATGAATAAAGAAGTTTGCCAGACAAAATACCAGATTACAACCGAGTTCCAGTTTTACTCCAAATGATACCATATGTCTGGAAATAGGTTCAGGAAGTGTAATTTTCGGTGTGATCCACCTTTCTAAGTGATTCCAACATGTTTTGGTTTTGTTGTATTCATAGATATGGTTTGTTGTTTCTATATCCTGTTCACAGAATGAGCATTTATTGTCATCAGTGTTAAAACAATTTCTTAGTAGCTCTTTGGAGGAGTAAATTGCATTTAAAATTTTAAAGTGTGTTTATTTGGCCTTTTTATTTTCCCAGGGAATAAAGTTTCGTTTAGGCAGCTTCTAATTGTGTGGTTGTTGATTTATTTATAATTTTAACAGTAAATGATGTTCCATTAATATCGGTAGATAGAGTGGCTCCCCCGACGTTGTTTGTGTGTGTAAAATTTCCGGACTGCCCTGAAAGCAGCACGAGTCTGTCGAATCAGGTCAGTCAGAGGAAGGTGAGCTCTGCTCGCGTTAAAGAGCTGGAGCAGCTTCCTGGTGGGTTCTGAACGCTGAAGCAGAGCCTCCACTGACAGAAGGGTCTGCCTGGAGCCCACAGGGCTTGTTGGGATGCCTTTAGTTTCCCTTAAAGCTCGGAGTGTGGTTGGAAAAAGTCGGTTTATGGGGTTGTGATTATGACAATTCAAACACACGAGTGTGTGCCTCACGAGCGCTCACTGCTGCTGCGGATCTGGACCCAGGCTGCTCCTACACACACTGCTCCACAACAGAGGTAAGTCCACCTTTTTACCTACATCCAGAATCACTACGCGTAAATATGTAGATTTTCATCGACCCATTTGAAAATGTAACCTTCATGTGCATGAACAAGATAGGTCTGTTCAAGCAGGAACATATGACAGAGATTAAATATGGTCAAAACAAGTATAAAGTCCAGCACCAGCCAGTCATGCATTGCTGCCTCCTCTCCTCCACGCACAGAAACATGGGGTAAATGCAGCTGTTTAGTTGATGTTTACTCCTCCCAGCTGCTCCTCCTGCAGCACAGTGGTGGTCTGTGTGAAGGCAGCAGCAGATTTTTACTGGGCAGATCTAGTTTTTCCTCTGCCTCACTCATCAGCAATGATGCTTGGATCCCCACCCTCCACTCCAGTGTCAGGAATGCCATGGAGACCTTGAACTGCAACCACTTCACACCCTGACACAAACTGGTTTAACTGAAGGCCTGAAGTGATCAATGGACAGCTTTGAACAAAAGCCTGCACATATATGACCAGTGACATATTGGAGTTTCAGGTTTTTTCAGTTTCAGCTGGTATTTCCATGTAAGACTACAGGGTTGGCTACAGGCTCAGGCAGGACGGGACAAGCTGACACAGCTGTGGGGCGATGATTGTAATCTGCTCAGCTCTTCTGTGTGAAAGTCGTGCAGCTGAGCGAACTGTGACTGTGCAGAAATAAGAGTGGATGTTGTTCTACGCAGCTCCTCCATCAGTTCTCCACATGCAAGCTGCTGATCAATAGCACATGTTACTAAATGAGCTCCCAGTCAGGTGGATGAAGTGATTTTACCTCCAGTGCTCATTGTGGTGACACTGAATGTTTGGGATGGGTGTGATTCTAGAAGTGTGCTTTTAAACCCTGCAGCTTCCTGTTGTCCAACTACGCCTCTTTACAGGATTAAATGCAAATCCCAGATTAGAGCATCTTGTGCTTTTTTAGATTATTTGGCGACTTTAGTTCTGTCTATCACCAGATGAAGTCTAAGTCAAAGTCTCTTTATTGTCATTCTCATCACATGTGGTACATGTGGTGGAACAAAACTGTGTACACAGGGTCCCAGTTACATCCAACAAAAGTATAAATTGTAAAGAAAAACAGTAATAAGATCTAAGATATGAATTAAGTAATACGTTAAACTAAGAATACACTAAGCACTAGTAGTACAAAGACAATATGTCAGACAACAGCACGAAAATGAGTCTGTTTGAGCAGATGAGCACGCATGAACACAGCAAAATGAAACAGATCAGCAGCAACATGAAACAGATCAGCAGCAACATGAAACTGATCAGCAGCAACATGAAACTGATCAGCAGCAACATGATGTGGTTTTTCACAGTGATTATTCTGATTAGAGATTCATGAGTCTAACAGCCTCAGGGTAGAAGCTGTTCCTCAGTCTAGTGGTTCTACACTTAATGCTCCTTAACCTCCTTCCTGAGGGGAGCGGATCAAAAAGTGTGTGTGCTGGGTGAGTGAGGTCCTTCATGATGCAGGTGGCCCTCTTCCTGCATCTGGAGGTGTAGATGTCTGTGATGGTGGGGAGACTGACTCCAACATCTTCTGTGCAGCCTTCACCACTCTCTGCAAAGCTTTTCTTTCTGCAGCTGTGCAGCCTCCATGCCACACGTTGATGCTCGAGCACAGGATGCTCTCCACTGCACACCTGTAGAAGGAGGTGAAGACTGAGCTTCTCAGACCAGCTCGCCTCAGCCGCCTGGTGAAGTTTGAGGTTTTAGCACGTTTAAAATATGCAACCAGTGTCTGATATCCAAAGAAGACTTTTATACCCTCTTAACTCAGCTCAAGCTGTTCTAGATATTATAAACGGGATCTCTGTGGAAAAGCTGTTCACAATTAATAATTTACCTTCTGTAGATAGTCCTTCGAATGACCTCAGTTTGGAGAAACCGAGTCTAGGTCCAACAGGACTGACAAGCTAAAGGCCTGTACAAATGCAGCCAAGAGACGTTAATGCAGACATGATTTCCTAGACCTTTAGACCAACATTAGTCTTGCATTACATGGTTATTTACACAGGGATGTGGTTATGTGTGGCAGCTGCAGGTAGCTGAAACAGTTCTAGTAAAGCCAGGGATCAGTTCCGGAGGAATTTCACCGTTTTTGTGCTGCAGCAGCCATAAAACTGATAGCAATGGAAAAGTGTAAATGACTTGCGATCATGCAAACTGCTATACAATTTTAAAAGATCAAAGCCGTTTCATGACGGCAGCAAAACCCTTTGGAAGTGGATCCGTATCAACAACATGGATCATCTGAGCAGGCGCTTCCAAAGCAGACCGCTGATGTTGTTTATGCAGAAATTTTAAGATATTCATTCGGTTGCACCTGAAATGTCTCAGCTCTCTGCAGATGTCACACTTTGTGTTGTAAATTAATAACCACATAATTCCATACAAATAACTTTGTTTTGCAAACTGACTGAGGTGTAGAGAGCTCATGAAATGGAGCTATGACATTTCTGAGACTGGAGTTGCTTTAGGATGGCAGCGTTCCACTTTGGCCTGAGCCTAGTTAGGCCCGAGCTGTTAGCTCGTCATTCCTGTCTGACGTGAACTCAGGATGTTTTGAAAGCTATCCACAACAAGACAGTTGTACATTCCTTTAAATGTGTCCACAGAGCCCTCGTCAAAATGGTCAGAACAGCCCTTTACCTTGCAGATGTTGGATGTTGCCTACCATGGTGCATTAAGATTCATAACTGGCTGTAACTACTATTACCCACCACTGCACCCTGTATTCACTGGTTAACTGGACATCATTAACTTTA